CTGTAACCAAGGGTCTTTAGAACGCTCAGTGAACGGCTTAGAGGAGCAGTTTGCTGAGTCTTCTCATTTGGCAAAAGCTTGGCCATAAAATTCATATACATTGTCTGTGGTTCTTTTATGAAGGTTTGAGAAAAATACCTCTCAATTTCAGTTTTACTCCATCTCTTGTTTTATTGTAAAATCATGCAGTTTTTTTGTAATTACTATTACTAATGCAACTATACTGTAAAACATAAAGTCTTACCAAGTATTTGTCTAGTTTCCAGAGCAAATATCTTAGTCCACTTGAAATTATACAAAACTAACTTGTCAGTAACTGTTCATCAAGAAATATAGTTATTTTGGATATGAGTTTGTAATAGATTGGGCAGCAGATGTCTTTGCTGGCTGTTGGCTATCTTCTGGGCTGTGGGTGGATGAACTGACCGGGGTTTAAGTTTTCTTCTGACGTTGGGGAGCATTGTTGGAGCGTCCTCGCTAGCATTAAGGTGCTGTCCATCTGAACTGAACAATCAGGGAAAGAAGGGCCATAGTCAGGAAAGTGACCAAGAATCTGATGGTCACTCTGTCAGCGCTTCAGTATTCCTCTGTGGAGAGAGGAGAACCAGCTGAGCAGAGCACACAATCCTATAATCATAACTAATAAGAGGTGCCAATAAAACACCTAAATGTTTTGATCTTCAAAAGAGGACTTGTCCTAGAAAAAAGAAACCAGAGGTCCAATCTGAGATGACGCCTCTCCGCAGGAAAAGAATCCAACATTTACTAGTCAAAATGTTCACCTTTACAACAAGAACTAAGAAGTTTTGGAAAAATGTATTCTAGATTTCACTTCATCACTTCACATTTTGTTCTTCACTTGACAAGATTGTACTTTTTATTTGTCCTTTGTTTTATGTCAAGTTCTGCTTTCGGCAGGTTTTGTGGTATTTGTAGAAGTTCGAACGCCTGAATTGTCAGAATCTTGTTTGTCACAATGCTGTGTGTCTGAAGTTCAGGGATTTGAAACCTGCTCATGACTTTGTTTTAAAATTTCACATGAACCCGACCTTATGGTATCAGTAGAACTTCGAGGGCCGTGGTTGCTGGGTGCTTGGTTGACACAATGGATTGAGTCTGTGCTTTGGGTCCAGTGATTCTGAGTTTGAAATTCACTTAAAGCTTGTTTTTAAAAAAATCAGATGAAAAACCTACCTGAATTCAAACTTGTGGAATTTGTAGAAGTTTGAGCGCCTTGGTCGCTGGGTGTGGTCCAGTTCTGGAATGCATCAGCATAATTTCCAAATAAGGAAAGGCCTGACATCTGGTCTGTCTCCGCCACTTCCTGTTTTGCTGCATCAAGGTTCTTATCAGAGAAAAGTGGTCTCCTGTAACTGGGGAAAGGAGAAGCTTCCTTCTTTACCGACAGCAGGAGGAGAAGAGAAGCTCTGAAGAACAAGTGAATTACTTCAAGTCTCTCAGAGTTGAAGGTAAAATCACTTTTTACTCATTGAGTTTTTCTCTGTAGTAAGAGACAAAAGTCAGATCTGTTTGATTCTCTGACAGGTTTTTATTCCAGAGTAACTTCCTGTCCCTGCTGCAGCTGTTTACATCGTTTGGTGTCAGCAGCAATAAATGTGTTTATTTTGATTGTTTCAGTTTCTGTGGTGAACAAAGTTACTCTGATGTCTGTCAAAACAAAGGTTGCTGTGGAGGTTTCGGTTACAACTGAACCATAAAACTTCTTGTTGTCAGTGAACAGAGTCAGAACAAGAGTAGACATGTTTGTAGTTCTTTATGTCTGAGGTCATGAGACTGTTAGATATTATGTTGCTGCTCTTGTTCTACACTTTGTTTTAAAATTCTTAAATGTTTCAGATGATCAAACTGAAATCAGACAAACTGATTATGATTTTATTAACCAAGTTCAATCTTTTATTCATGATGCTATATAATAAATTCAATGTACAAAAGGTTCTTTGGGGGAATTGATAGATGAAATATTTAGATAAAATATAGAAAAATGCATTTTAATCCAAATTGTAAAACAATTGAGTGGCTCAGGATGTGGAACATGAAAAGGCTTCATTTGTGTCTTATTGTTTCTGGAATTAGAAAAATCCAAATTTCTAATTAGACCTGCAAGCAGAAACAGCACAGCAATAGAGGGATGTCTCTTGGGAACATTTTGCTCCTGCTTTGACATGTTTAAATTTTTATTAAGTTGTTTTCAGCTTTAAGGAAATGCAGTCAGAACTTTGCAGCAGCTTCAGCCTCTCGGATACAAACTGAAGGTTTTAATGGACCTGCTGAAGTGCAGCTGGTTCTGGGTTAACTGGTCCACTGGCAAGTTGAGCACTAACTGGTTAATGTGCGGTTCTACACCAGTGAACTTTTCGGTGAACTTTTCCATTATGTGTTCTGTTTAACCGAGCATGAAACAGCTCAACCACAATACACAAGATGTGTGAGCAGCAGCAGCTGTGATCATTTGAAGATATTTATAAAAGGTTAAAAGTCAAAAGGTCAACCAGTCTCCCCACTTTTAAACACAAACAATCACCAACTTAGCTGAGCTGAGTTTCTGTAAATAAATCAATAAATTTAAATGTGAGCGGGAGCGGGGTTACCTTTGATGACCTCTAGAGAACATTTTTCTTAATATCTTTACAATTATAGCAGCACAAATGAAAATGTTTGCTGCACAGACGTAGCACAAACGTTTGACACCAATTTTGTTTGATTTCATAAAAGTGGGGGGCCGGTTAACCTTTTGACCTTTAACCTTTCATAAATGTCTTCAAAGCCAAAGCAGCACAAATGAAAATGTTTGCTGTACAAACCAGCACAGACGTAGCACAAATGTTTGACACCAATGTTGTCTGATTTGAAGAAGGTGGGGGGGCCAATTTCACTCAGGTCATGTCCGCAGCTAAACTTTAAGCTGTTTTGGAGTAGTCAGTGACGTAAATGATGAGCCAAATGGTTTTGGTGCCGTATCCTGATCAGGGATAGAACCATATCCTGATTCTAACCCTGAAGTAGGTACTAGAACCTGAGAAAAAGTCGGGCCAGATCTGCTCATGGAAAATTAATCTGGCCGAGGCGGACCGGTTGGAGGCGCTTTAGTGGAAAAGCCTTAAAGTATTCTCTGAGGTTCTGGTGTGAAGTCATGCTTCTGTTAGCAGGTGATGCTGTCTTGCTGCTGTGTTACCATGGCAGCAGTTGCTGTTCTGCTCCTCTTGTGATGCTTATGTTTAGATTGATGTTAAAAAGAGAAGTTTTCACTGAATTATGAGGACCTTTCCTTTATAAATCACAATTTGATGTAAACAGCAGCTGCTGGTCCGCCTGTGACCTCCCACCTATCCATCCATTTTCTTTACACCCTTGTCCCTTAGTGGGGTCAGGAGGGGTGCTGGTGCCTATCTCCAGCTAACATTCAGAGCGAGAGGCGGAGTACACCCTGGCAGGTCGCCAGTCTGTCGCAGGTCACCTTCCATAAATACATTTTAATGTAAATCAATCAATCAAATTTTATTTGTATAGCACATTTCAGCAGCAAGGCATTTTAAGGTGCTTTACATAATTAAAAACAAAATAAAAACAGCATCTGACATTGAATAAACAGTAAGAAAGAGAGAGATTTTGGGAAAAAAAATAATCATTATAAATACCAGGAAGACTACCACCATGGGAAACAATAACCATGGCAACAATTCTTACTTTTAGCAGTATACAGTATACACTTATTTTTTACTGTACTGTTTAAGTATTTCTATATTCGCTTGTATTTGTTTTATATATAGGTTATATTTTTTATATTGGATTCTGTTCTGTCCTCTGAACTGCTGTAATTATGCAAATTTTCCTGCTGCGGAATTAATAAAGGAATATCTTGACAAAAATTAGTGATTTGAATTAAAAAACTGTTTTAGACTATTTCTTTTTACAAAATAAAGTATTCCATTACAAAAAAATGTATTATAATTCCAAAAGTTTTGACCACAATGTCTTAAAATTGAAATTAGTTATTGTTTGTTTGAATAATATTGAGACAAATTTACCCCTGTAGTATTATTATTTTTTGATTAGAAATAAAGTAAGAAATATAAGACTTTTTTTCATTAATTTTTAAATCTTTTGCATGTTTTTTTTGTTTCAGTATTTTACCAGCGCTAAAATTACCAAATAGCTTTTAACCCAATTAAATCCAGGACATGTTGTCCTGTTACTGTCTTTTATCAGTAAATAACATTCTGTAGTTTTGTAATTTTCTCCTGCCTTATCTCACTGTAGTTTAAGTTTTTCACTACTTAGATTTATTTTCTTCTGTATTGTAATGTTCCTTTTTCTGTTTACAATTGAACTAGGCAGAAAATTATTTTGAAAATTTCAAAATTTCAGAAAATTTCAATTGTAAATAGGTAGAAAATCTGAGCAGGTCGCCAACAACATGAAATAATAACTAAACTCTGAATTCCTCAGAAATGACTTATTATCACTTATTATTATTATTAAATAATAAGTCATATTATTTAAAATTAAAAGTTAAAAATAAATAAATTCAAATTAAACAAAAGTACAGATTACGAGTAATCCACTTAACGAAACAATTTCTATTTAAAAATTTAGTTAAAAAAGAACTGATTATATTTTCTGTCCAGTTTCCTCACGGTATTACTCAGATCTGGAAAAAAAACAAAACAAAGAAAAACAGCATGTTAAGAGATAAACTGTTGTAGAAGAAAAACCGGTGATAAAAGGATTCTTGTTCTGGGTTGAGAGTCACAAGTCACTGAGTTCAGACTTTGCTCAGGATGGTTGTAGTCTTCCCAGTCACAGGTTGAAATTGAGACTCACATGTTGTCAATCAGGTGTTTCCTCTCTGCTGGAAAACAAACAAAGCAAAAGTTAGAAAGATGCACTACATGGACATCATATAAATTCAGCATTTGCTTAAATGTTTGTTTCACCTTTGTTGACTTGCATATGGAGACTGGTACTTCAACCAGGTGGTGTGATCATTTCTGACTGAAAACTCAGTAGTTCTTAAACCTTTGTTTGTTGTCGACAGGTCTGATCTTCTCTGCAACCTGACAAAATACTGTTGTTTCAGGTAATTTTCTATCTTCTTCCTTCCTTTTGGGAGAAACATTTTTCTCTTTACAATTTTTTACTTTTTGATCTAATTCAGGATAGATGACACAAGAACAATAACTCAATGCAGAAAGTCAAACAGAAAAAATTCCCAAAAATTCAAAAACAAAGGTTTGATCATTTAAAAAGTGAACAGCCTTCATTTGGTGTGTATATCACCATCAGTTGTTTAGATTTGAGCTTTATATATCTTGTTATAATTCCATGTTCATGAGGAGTCATTTCTTCATGAAAACATGTTTGCGATAACCTCGGATCTCCATGGCAACCATTCGGTAGCGCTTCAATGCTTCCTCATGCAACGCGTCACCTTTCTGACTACAATGTGTTTTTTATGATAGATACTGTCAATATTGTCGGAGTGCTGTACTTGGAATGCTGATTGGTCAGTTGCTGACAAGTGCCCTGGAATGATTGGGGGAGGATTGCTCTATGTCAGCATGGGGGCGGAGCCGGCGTCATGTCAATTGTGAAGTTGAAAGAAACTGATGAACAGTTTTCAGGTTTTCAATCAAATTATTCATCAATCTTCACTTCAGTCCAGGCTGCAGGTGGTTCAGTTGTTGAAAGCTGATCAAGCTGTGAAGAAGCAACAGCGCCCTCTGGAGGAACAACAATATAATGACATCAGAACCTGGTGGATCACCTCCAGGAATTTAGGGGTCCATGACAAAACATGAGAACATCTTGTCTGACATGTCACATGTGCTCACATTAGAAAATGTTCTCATGAATTCAGGGAGAAGGTTTAGGGTTTCTCTGTGTAAATATAACCATCTGAAACATTCACTTGTACCCTGTCCCTAACCAAGTCTCCAGCAGTCTGATAAATGGCCGACCAGCAGGGCCTGAACTGAGTAGTAGGAGGCCCAGTGATGATCAGGAGTAGCATGTAGAGGATCTATTGTATGTATTTTGAAGTACTGTTTTTATTGTTACTGTTGTACTACAGCCTTTCCCGTACTTCCTAGACAAATTTCACCTAAGGGAGACCAATAAATTATCTTATCTACTTTTTCCTGCAATAATTAAAAATTCTTTAAACAAAAGAAAATAACTGTAATTTCCCAGTAAATGACTAGAATAATATACATGAAATGTGAAAACAGGCAAGGAATTGATATTAACTCTCCAAATATTTTCATTATTTTATTAACCTTTTTCTTTTCCCTGCCATTTTTGAAGCCCTTCATTCAACTTTGAAAGAAATTATTCTCAACGGTCTCTCAAAATATAATGAAATATTTTGTATCGATCATTTGTTCTACAATAAACAGTTTAGTCTTTAAATTAATCTTAACTATGAAACAATTTGTAGAGTAAAAATATTTTAACTTGATGGGTTAAAAAATAACTCATCTTGTTATTTTACCAGTAAAAGTTTAAAAAAGGACAGAAATTGAATTTAAAGTTCAAATAATTGTATAATATTCCTTTTTTTTTTTTTTTTTTACAAAAACAAAACAATTAATCGCAGTTTTGTGATTAAGTGCAATAATACATTTATTATTAATTCTGCACCTTTAAAAACTCTTGAGGTCGGCACAGGTGATAAGAAAGACAAGATGAGGTTTTCTATTTTCTGTCAGTGAAAATTTTGTCTTTTTGCTGCTTTTTTTCCAGCAAACTGCAGATTTGCTGGAGAAAACTGGAGATACCAAGTTTTTACAACAATTTTGCTGAAAATTGAAGAAAAATAAAGAAAATCAACAAGTTGCTTGTATTTCTTTACCTTTAATCTTTTTTTCCAATTCAAGGCATGTTAACAGTTTGAATCTTTGCAAGAGCTTCTGGCTTTAGATGAAGAATTGATCTGAATCAGGGAAACTTGGCTTCATGTTGATTTTTCCTAATTGGAATAAGATGATTTTTTTCCTATGCCCTAAGAGACGCGTTAATGTTGACTTTTCTCTTTAGCTTTTTCTTCTTTTTGCCCAGGTGGCTTTCATTTGAGTGGTTAGACAGGAAAGTAGGTAATGAAAGAAGGGGAAGACATGCAGCAAAGGTCATCAGGCCAGGGCTCGAAACTGTGACGTCCACATCGAGGACGAAGGCCTCCATGCATGGATTGTGCTTTACCCTGGCACCACCACAATATCCCTAATGTTGATTTTACTTATTATTTCCCTGAACCTAAAATTGAATATTTGGACCAAAATTCAACACTGAATAAAGAAATTTTGCCACCTTGCAATCCAGGAGTAATCTGATTTAAAGCCAGAATAGTTTTCTGTTGTTCTGGCTTTAAAACCTAAAGGAAATCAGATTCTAGAATGACTGACAGGGACATTGTCCCTTATGAAGTAAAATGTGACAAATTGTTAATATTAATAAATGATTTTCTTTTATATAGTCAGTTTGCATACCAACATAGCTTCCATAGTTACATATGTTTTTCTGGTGGGGTTTGTGTGTTTTAAACAAGTATTTTCCAGCTCTAATCTGGCATTTTTAGTTTCCATTCCAACTTTCTGAGAGCAAAGTAAATAAATTATGAAATAAAGCCTGAAATATAATGAATCCTTCATATTTTCCAGATGAAAGATGGCGCAGCAGCAGGAAGTCCAGCAGGAAGTGGATTTAGGTAAATGATCAGAAGCAGAAATGAAGAATCTTAAAGGAACAAACTGACCAATCACAGCCTGTGTTGCTGCCATGTGATGAAACTCAGCCTCAGTGTCTTTATTGTTTTCATGCTTCCTGTTCAGTGAAGCTCTGGTGGAAACATTGTGAGTTTCTGTGAAACCTGAAGGTAAAAACTGAACTCAGATGGAAACTAAAAGGAACCGAAGTGAAGAACAGGCCAGCAGCTCTGATACTTCAGGAATATTTACTATATACACTAATTAACAAGCACGACCAGAGAAGGGTGTGGGGGATGGGGTCGTGCCCTTTTTGAGTTTTTTTTTTTCCCCAATATTTTATTTTTATTTATTTTTTAAATCTGTCTGTCAGAAGGCCTGTTTGTGCCCCTCAGCAATAAAATTTAGCTAAATATAATAATTTATTAAAATAAACTAATCTGGCTGCCCTCAGTCTAATAATGACTCTCAGTTCCTCCATGCTGTTCAGACATCGGTTCCATGGTAAGAAGGAGGGGCAGATCTGTGCCTCTAACTATCAAATTATGGGCAAGAATATCCCGTCCCGTCAGCAGTGGCTTTAACCCACCTGGTAGAAATGGTAAGGAGAAGCAGAGTGAACAGTCAGCAGGTGGTGAAGCCACCTGGTGGTGATATGTTGTGAAGCCCATTTAGAGTTCACAACATATCACATAAACATCAGAGAAAATACTGTAGCAATAATTAGAACCGCAGCATAAAGCCAAACATGCCACAATTAAATGAATCAAAATGTCCCAAAAGCATCAGCGGACGGATATAGAGGCCACCAGGGGATTCCAGGTAGATTCAGAGATGCACGTCGCAGCAGCAGTCCAAGGTAATAAGGAGTCTTATTACCTTGGACTGGTAATAAGACCCCACCTAAATCCCCTCCTACTAAGATCCTCAGCATCGCTAACATGTTTAAATATAGATAAGGTGAATGTGAGAGGGAGACCAGGTTTATTGGCCGAGTTTAAAATCAATCACTGATTATTGGTTATTTGCTGTGATGCATTTGTGACCAAATGAGCTCAAACACAAAGATTACACCATACTGTAGCCATGGTAACAGAGCAATCAAACTATCAAGATGATTCTTTAAACTTTTACAAAGTAAACTTCCCAATTAAATCTAATGTATAATTTTTTTCTCAGATGAATGTATTAAATAAAATGTAATAACATTGTCAAATGAATGCTACAGGTTTAGATCTTTGGTCTGTGTTACAATTCAACCATCTCTGAATGTCTTTAGGGGCCCTGAATGGCCCCTACCAGCAGCTACTGAGTTTTCTTTGCCTTGATATCTCAGTCTTATGATTCTAGATCTCAGAGGTGCTAACATCAAAAAATTATATAGTTAACCCCTTTGAGCTTTTTTGATCTATAAATCAGTTTGCAGCCAAGTTGTTCTAGAGGTTAAACAGTCAGATATTATTAAGGCTTAATCAGTAAAATAGCAGCAAATTTGCTTATTTCATAACTTCACAACTGTTGGGATTTGAGTTTTTCTGTGTGCTTATTTGAGATTTCTGTGTCTAGCGAGTCTCCATGTTTGTCCTGTTTTCCCCTTGATTGTTCCCAAGTGTGTCTCATTCCATACCCTCCCTGTGCATTTAAACCCACCTGTGTGCCTTGTCGGGTCCTTGTCTTGTGTTGCTGTTCGTTTGTAGTGTCGTAGCACAAGTCGCATGTTCCTGTCCATTCATTGAACCTGTTGCTACCAGTGTTTTGGAACCATTTTTCATCATTAATAACATTCATCAGTGCAACCTTGGGTCCTAAGCATTTCTGCCTCACCACCGTCACCACACAAAACATGACAATAAGCTTTGACCTTCTCTCCTCTGGTCTGTTTAACAGCTTCAGTCTCAGATCAGATCAGCCTCCAGGACTGTCAGCAGCAGAAACAGAAACATTAAACCTGTTGGGGAAAATAAACTACATTTGCTTTACGTTGTCCCTGTATGATGGCAATGATATACTAGGATCCTATTAAATTCTTGATTAATGTGGGTTGTTATGTTGTTGTACGGTGTTTTAAGATCTTGTTCAATGTGCCCGTTTTTAACTTTGAGCCTTTCCAAAGGTCTCTGCATGGCCCTGATAATTAAATTATCCAGTAATCACATCATTTATTACTAACTTATTTCAGATGGAAAGACCTGCTGTACCTTTTATTCCAATATTTGGTGACAGAGATGATAAAGCTTAGAAATGGAGGTGAAAACCTGATGATAATGGAAAAGAAAGAGAAAAGTGAGGGAAATGTTAATCATTCAATATTTTCATCACAATATTCATCAATAATATCAAAGTTTCCTGTTTTTCTAAAATAGTGCAGCTCTATATTTAGAAGGTGTTTCTTTTATTGTTCTTCCTGCAGTGAGGAAAGAAAGTGATGAACCAGAAGCTTCATTTGGTCTCATGTAGACAGAATCAGTGGTCGTCACTCAGATATGAGGCAGAAACACAACAGCAGGTTTAGACCTGAGGAGCTGATCAACAGACTCTGAATCTCTGGATGGAGAAACATGAATAGTTGATTTTCATCACGTTTTTCTCTCAGACGTCGATTTGAATTAATCCTTTTTCTGATTTCTATCTGCAGAGAAAAAACTTTTACATGTTCGCTCTGAGTTTGTGAAGAGAGTTTCTGAGGAAAACCTGATTCAGCTCCTCAATGACCTTGAAACCGATGGTGTCTTTAATCTTTTGGAGAAACGGGCGAAACTTGAAGAGAATCAAAGTACAGCGAACAAGGCCCGGGAGACCATTGATGATGTGAGGAAGAAAGGACAGAAAGCCTGCAGATTGATGATCAAACGTCTTCATCAAATAGATCCGACTCTGTCCAATGAGCTGGGTTTGTCCTCTGACTCCTCTGCTAAAGGTGAGACCCAAAGTTCATTAAAGCTGTT